CCAGTATCAATGAGGGTCGTTACCTGTCTTTGGATCCTCCCCTGTCAACCGACGCCTATTGTCCTGGTGGGCATGTTTGGGCAAAGATCTCAGAACCGGGTTGTAGATGGAAGACAAGTTGTGTCTTAGTCCACCACCCCTATTAAGAGAGGGGTGTTCTATTTTTACGAAAATAGCTTCCTTAACACCTCTCTCAAACCAGCGATGTTCTCTGGAGAGGATCTGGACTTCACTGTCCTCAAAAGAGTGTCCTTTCTCCTTCTGGTGGAGGTGGACTGCTGAACTCAGAAACGTGAACTGGCTTTTTTCTTAACATTAACTTGTTACTCCACCAAGTATGAAATTGTAGTTTGCTAGACATTCTAACCTTGCAGCTTGTGTTTGAGCAGACAAATGTACAGTTTAATAAATTTCTTGCACATTTGCTCTTTTATTTTTGGTTTTGGAAAGGCTAAAACCTTCTCTGTGACTTTTACTGGAGCCCAACACACACTACTTCAACATGGAGAGCTCCAACGCTTGACAGGCTTGTCACGCCTAATTATGGTTGCTCAGCTATAATTGGACAGTTACTTTTGTGGGAGGGACTTAGGGAATGATCAGTTCAAGCGAGCATCTGACAGACAGATAAAGAGCAGGAGACAAATGGGGAAGAATGATAAAGGGCAGAATGCCATCGACATTCCTGATTTCCGGCATCTAAAGCGTTGCCACATCAATAACAGTGAAGAATCCCCTACTTCAGTTTGAATAAATAATTCACTGTCTTTGTATTGCACAGTCACTCATTGTGTAGCTATAGTTTGGCCTGTACACATCTACAGACTTTATAACTGTTCTGACTTGTGCTCTATGGTCACAGTTGACCTTCTCTCTTTAACCCTTTTGCTCCCTGCCCCACACAGTACGAGCATTGTAATGATAAAGGAAGCTTTAAAGTTGACTGTGTCTTTCTCTGTTGTCAAACAAGAATCAACCTTTTGTGACCATGACTCAGTCTCCTGATGTCGCCTGCCATCCATCAGAAATTTGCCCCTCAAAGTTTTGGAGGTGATTTGGCATGAGTGAGCCTTTCTGGTCCAAGGGTGACCACAACACTTGTGCTTTTGCTCGTGCCGTTCATTCACTGCCAAATGTTCTGTTTGGGGAGTCAAGGTTTTGTCCTCAGGGGTATTTATAACATGTGTTGGGGAGGTGTGTCTCTGCCAAGCCAGGCCTTTCTCTCTGTGTTATTTATATTTTTAACTGCCATAGCAGCCTAGAGCTGAATCACTTCACTATGGCATAAAGAGGAAATTTGGAATTGGACTTTTGTGTTGTTGGCTCATTTACAGGATTGATTCTGTCATAGTGAAAGCTGGCATTGTGGTCTTCTAATATTTATGAGTTTCTTTCTTTGTGGTTACAGACTACTTGGATTTAAACTAGCCACATTTAGTCTATATTTATTTATTTGTGTACATTTATTGCATTTATATGTCTTAAAACAAGAACAATAAATTTTGCAGTACAGTAGCACATTTCAGTACAAAAATGCTTGGTACCACTGTATAAATAAGGAACATTTTATAAAGAGTCAATTATAACTAATGGCTTTATTAATGATTAATAAATATTAAATAAAACTATTAAAAAAAAATATGACCGTTTGGACTGCCAGGTTGTGAAAAATCTCTGACTGACTGGAAAACATCCATTATTTAATGATGCATCAAGCAGGTGTTAACACCATTTAAATCATTCAAATCAGCTAAATTTAATCATTTATGTCAGCTCTATTTAATAATTTAAGTCGACTCAGTTTTCTTTATTTTATTGTTAATTACTGTTAAAGTGATTAATGACAACTTATAGACCATTTAAAGGGTCTGTTATTAGACAAAATGGCACCCAACATTTAAACAAAAAATGACTGTAATTAGAAGCAAATCCATATGTCAAATATACAACAGAAAATAACTGACAGTGAGTACAGCAGTGCAGTAGATGGGGAATAGGGATCCGTAGAAAAGAAACCAATGGATGAGGCTTGGGAGAGTGAACAGATGCTCAAAATGTAGCCTGGTCGATAAAAGCGATGGAGTTACTCCTCTGCACTCTCAGGTTTCTCTGGTTGACCTCTGCGAGTGCTGATCACATTCTGCCGCAGAACAGGCTCACACACATGCAGCCCGTGCAAATTTATCAACAAGCGTACTTATTCAGGATTGTGTTCGGTCTTGGGCAGAAAAAAGATACGGGTCATGTGAGAAAGAAACTGAGCCAGAAGTCTCAAGGGGAAAAGAAAAGTATATAAAAGAAGGGAAATGTGCCAAAACAAAAGATAGGAGGAACAGCATTCTTCAATTGTTTTTTTTACTTGTGCTCGCTGTAACAACATGAATACTATAAAAATGTCCTTCATTGGCGGTGAAAGGATTTCATGTTTTATTGGGCAGGTCTTAGCAGCAGTCTCAGCTTTTCTCAGGTATAATGACATATAATAAAAAATAAACCTGCTTGTGTCTGAAGCCCCTCCTTCTCCTTTGGTTTCAATCCACTGTTAGCTTAAAGTATATGGTGTTGAAACTGTAGTAACATCTGTTTGCAAGAGTCTGAAGGAGGTGGGAATAACAAGTCTGACTCAGGTGTGGCTGCTGCAGAGTACCAGATGCAAACACGCACTTTGAAAACAAATTACAGACACACTCTCGCTGTAAAATATACAAATATACAGTAACAACCAAATAAGCTTAACAATACATAAAGGAAAATGGTTTGTTGACAGGAGTTAACAGTTGACTGAACCTATAATTTTGACACTTCCGTGTTTCACTGACTTTACTGACAAGCTATTTCCCCATTTTGATCACAGGAATCCAGGCAAATTTGCATTCTTAAAATTTTAAAATACATATACATGAAATAATGACTAATAACACACCGCCAATGCCAAGCGACCAAAGATGGGAAAAGGATATATAAAATGTGATGCTAATAAAACGATTTTGTCTTACTAACTTTTCATATATTCATATACAGAGTGGGTGAAAGGTAACTAGGCATTAAAAATTGGTTATAATGGCTATAATGTGAGGTTACTGTTCACCCACCCTGTATGTATATTTTAAATGCAACCATGAAACCACCTTTTTCAAGTACATGGATGTTTCTACCCTTCAACCCAACATTTTGTTTTTCACTTGCTAATTCAGAGTAATAAAACAAATCTTTTCTTCCCATTTGTCTCAGCTCAGTTAACCTTTTTCTAAAATTTTGCACATACTTTTGGTAGACATTTTTGATACACATATTGTGTCCAATATAAGATTCTGTTACTGGCTCATCACCCCAAGGCTACTTAATGAGGGAATCCTCATTGTGTTGATCAGTAAAATGATTCAGTGTGATCGCTCTCTGACCTACAGCACTAGTCCAGTAAGCCTTTATCTCTCTCTGCACTGAGAATAAGCTGAGCTCAGCAGAGAAGGTCACTCCCCTCTGAGGCCAGACCATCCAATCTGGGAGGGTGAGCTAGTGGCTCAGTAAAGGCACTTAGGAACCTGTTTTAACTGTTAATAACAGACTTATGGAGGCAGGACACATAGAAATGATATGGGAGTAAATGGATGGATGCGTAGTTTAATGAACAAATAAATAAATAAAAGACATAACCAGGACAGTTAGGAAAACAGCTAGGCAAGTGCTAATTGACAGAAAAGGGAAATGCCTGATGGGAGCAAATAAAAGCATAGCTAGAGGCAAGATGGACAGAAAGGATGGGGAGGAGGAATTTGTGCTAGACAAATATGACACAAATATCATCATAAGTATTTTTACAGAAAAAAAATCTATGGCTTTACAATTTAGGGATTAAGAATGATGGACATCCAGCATTACAGTGTAACAGGACATACGGTATGTGTTACCATTAAGTGATTATCACATTCTCAAAATTCCTTCAGCTGAAAACCCCAATAGCAGCTCCATGCATTCATCTAAATAAGATGAATACTGCTTTAAAAAAAATGCTTTCACCTCATGAGCTAACAATGGTCACCTCACATTTAGCAGCTCTCCTAAGACATTTAGAGCCCCTGGAATCCAACAAGATAATTTCCTGTTGATGATGTGAGTAACTGCAAGTGACAAATGAGGATAGGTCTCCACATCCGCGGTTAGGAGCAAACATGTCGGTTTAGCGTTAATGGTCGGAGGAAAGTGGACAGGATGGGATGGACAAATTTGCTCTTACTTCTGATAATGGCTCCCTAGGGATGGGGGAGGACGACCAAGTAATGTGGGAGGTAATGTGTGCATGGAGAAGACGGAGGGACATGCTGCAGATTCTTTGACATGAGACAAGATGTAGTAACCAACGCTTGATTTTTGAATGTGCTTGCCCGACAGCTGCAAGGATTAAGGCGGCTCTAATCATTATACTAACAATGGATCAAAATGATTATGTGTAATGTGAAAGGTGTCTTGCTTACTGAAATCAACTGAAAAATATCACCCAACTCTGTAGCTCCCACTAACTCTACAGGGCACTGTGTGTCTTTCAACTCAGTTTTTCTGGGCCCTCAACTTTATTGTTCCGGGTCATTCTCTCAGCTCTCATTAGTGTTGCGTCCAGCTAAAGAAGGCAGCTGCTTTTAGCAGCAGAACCTGTGGTACACTATTCTAAGCACCAGTTGGTGAGCATAGTGAAGCAATTAGCAACTAGCAGGATATTCTCAGCTTCTCAGCAGCTATTCTCAGAAAAAAAAACTAAAGATAAACAAAACATTGAATAGTGGATTTACATTAAACTGGCCGGCCAGAAATGTGGCCCTAAATGAATATTGCCCTATTCAACATTAACATTGTGCCAACAGCTTGTTTCTGGTGGCCAAAAAGAAAGAAACTGTTATTGCAGATCTAACTGGCCCTTTAATATCTAAAATGTATAGTAAATGCTTTGTTTTCACATATTCAGGAAGTTTATAAAGTTTCTGTCCATTCCTATTTGTCTTTCACAGTTCACTACCCTACCATGTCTCCCACGGCCTTCATGGGCTCCTCCATACCCTCTTATGATGATTTTCTAACAGAGGGCTTCCCACCAGAGGGCCCTACCGACAGCACCACCACCACCACCACAGATGGTGATCCCCAGAAGCGCCTCTACCAGGGTCTGAATGACAAACTCATCCCCATCTACTGCTCCATCCTAGCAGCTGTCGTGGTCGGCCTTGTGGCCTTCATCATCTTCAAGAGGTAAGGACAGAAAAGAGCTGAAGTTAACAATGAAACTGTTCACCCAGTAAACAAAATGATGGGTAACTGCTAAATTACTAGCCCAATGCAGTATTGTGTTTTGGGGGTATTTTTTCCAATTAAAACAAGCATGGTTGTAGGTTTAAAGAGATTTTTAAAATCTTTTTTTTTTAAATGGAATCGTGGGAGTCCACACTGTTATTCGGTGGGTCGGAATATGGACTGTATACAGTCTTTTTTACATTTAAAGCCCCTGCTTCTCTCTTAATGCCTACACAGACACCCCATTCTTTACACAAACACTGAAAGTGTCAGCAGCATTTAAACCACTGAACTGCAACTGCCATACATGTACTCCGAGTTACCTCACTGTATGAAGTGTGAAGAGATGTCTTACATGTAACTGCTCTCATCTTTCATCTGAATATTAATATCTCAAGGACATTCTGAAGAATGTACCTCAGATACAGTTCACCCTATTTTTACTACCACAGTTCTTATCATTATTATTGATGGTCATGCTTTTGTAAAGCTGACATCAGAGCTCTGCACTGTGGGTAATTTTGCTGTTCTTGGCACAGCACCCAGCCACAATCCTTCATCAGGTGACATACCCAGGCTTATTAAGTATTTATTTTAATGCTGGATAATCCAAAGGATGTTTTTTTAAAGTGTGGGTGTTTTTTACCTGGGCTTTCTGTGTGCAAATGACAAATGGGGATATTTAAGTTTTTATTGTTACTTATTGTTGTACTACAAATGTGCTATGGTGAGAATTAAACATTTTTGTTTGCTCAAATATTAGACTCTATGACAAATAGTTCCCTTTTTAAGATCAGCAGACAGAAAAGAGAAGATTTTTTGCTTCATGACTAACATACTCTAAAGGCAGGTGGAGTCTGCAGTCAGCTCTGTAGACCATAGTAGGACTTCAACTACTTTCTAAGTAAAATATTTGGTCATATAGTCTGTAATCCAGTTTTTGTTCCTGTATTCATAATCTACTGAGATGAAGCTTAAACCTCATGTGGTTTATATGTGCCAGTTAATTTTAGAAATCTCAATGTTGTAAATGAACTCTGAGTTTTTTGTCACTGGGCATAAAGTGAGTTTTGTGGCTTTGAAGATGTGTCTGCTTCTTTCCAGTATGTCTGGCTTTTAAATTTTTTTTGACTCAAATCAAATCTGTGATACATGCACAATGTATTGTTTTACTAGTCAAAAGAGGTAAATGATTACTGATTGTCCTTTAGTCAGCAAGGCTATTGTAAATTTTTAACCCACACCAACTCTACATTTGTCAAAAAGAGTTGTCTTCAGCTTTACAGAGGGTTTTGATGTCTTTACCTCACGGTACAGTTTTTTTTGTGACAAATTTTAATGCTTGGATTCACTCTGAGCAGTGCTCAAAGCTTGTTTCTGCTGCCCCAAAGTGGCCAAAAAAAGTTTATAATAACCAAACCAGTAGGATTATTGTGTATTTACAATACTGGTAAATAACAATGAGGTTAGTACAGTTGAATTAGGTGTTGTCTCAACCAATATTAATCATCAACTCTGGTACTGAAAATTTCCACAAACATATATAATAATGCTGTTGATTACTGCTTTTTTTGTTGAGTTTTTCTTCTCTTTGGATTCATTTTCATTCAGGTGGAACAGCTGTAAGCAGAACAAACAAGGAGCCAACAACTGCACAGCCAACCAGAACCAGACACCGTCACCTGAGGGGGAGAAGCTGCACAGCGACAGTGGCATTTCTGTGGACAGCCAAAGTCTGCAGGAGCAGCAGGGCCAGACACAGGCACACACGGGTAACACACTAATACCTGAACCTTCACAGCAACCACTCCCTTGCTAACAAGAAATACAATAGCCCTCATTTATCAAACTATTGTACTTAAATTGGGTGTGACCACATTTTGGTACAAAAAAAATGTTAATCTGGTGCTGAATTCCACTGGCAATGAGTTTGCCTCTTATCCTGAATAAGTCAGGTTTCTGTGAATGTACACAAAGGCTGCACCCTGAACTGCCTCAGCACTCCAGCTGAAAGGACAGACTTTCTTTTTGGAATGAGCCATCCAGTGGCTTCATCAACTTTACCTTGAATATAACATTTCAAAGTTACTGTAGCAAATCAGAAAGCAGCTAGTGTTTGTTTATTTGTTTGTTTTCAAGACAGCACATGTTTCTGGCAGTTTCTTGTCCTGCCCTTGACAAACCAGTTTGAGAGAATTTAGGACTTTTAAAGGATATAATTAAAGGAAGAAAAAGTGGTGCAAGCAGAGGAATAAGGACAGTATTCAGACAGTAGTGCTCATGTTTGTATACTATCTTACAGTGATAATCAGTGGGATGTGTTGGGACGTCTGTGGTGCTAAACAATTGGTGCTGTTGGCTCCTGACAGTCAGACAGTGAGACTCAAGACAAATCACCTTTTCCTTGGATTTTCTGTAATAATGTTTTAGTGGAATTTGTCAGGCAGAGATGCTATTGCTACTCTTAGAATGCAGCTACGCACTACTTCTTCCATTTACTCCAAACAACCCACTGCTGCTCCTGCAGGAAATATACACTTCCTCATTTCCTTTATACCAGTATTTACAGCCACTTGAAAAGCTCAACAACAGGATGAAATCCTTATCATGTTACATGTAGAGCAGTAAAAATGCGGGGATTTGTAAGATTATTCCTTTATGTGAACCATGCCAGTCAATTTAAAAAATAATTTTGTTTAAAATAAATAGAATTATACTTAGATATATGAAATTACAGCAGGGCAAAAATACTCAAATTAATGAAACTTGTTATTTTCCCTCTGCAGTTGTCACCATGGATGAAGAGCCTTGTTTGCTTCTTCCTCTCCACACCAGAGAAAAAGTGGAGAACATGCTGTTCAGGGGCAGCGAAGGAGACAACGGCAACCACATGGACGATAGTGACTGGTGCAACCTGGCAGGCCTCCTAGGATATGAGGAAGAGCGAATTGCGACCTTCCGGCAGGAAGAGCATCCTGTCCGCGCACTCCTGTCTGACTGGGCAAGCAAGGACTCTGCCAGCATGGACACACTTTGCACAGCACTACGCAAGATCAACCGTGACGACATCGTCCAGAGCCTGGTACTCAGCCCAAGTGCTACTAAGTCAACCGCCACCTCTGTAGTGTGATTTACAGAGCATAAACCACCTGGACATCAACTTTAATATTCTTTATTGGCCTCCCTTACTTCAGATAATTCATGCTAGAACCGCTTTCAACTATTCCCTCAAGAAGCCAGCAGTCACAATGATGGTCCAGTGGCATGAATAATGTTGGATCAAGGAATAAGACTGGAAGATGCCACAAATCAGACAAAAAACAATTAAATAATGTACCAAACCAAATAGATGGAAATGAAGCCAAAACCCTAACTATCAGGATGGGCTTGTAATCAATCAACAACAATTTAAAATCCACTCAAATAAAACCAGTGCCGAAGGAAATTGTTTAATCATTCCACTGTGAGCCTGGATATCCACCTTACTGTCTTCTGACCCGATTAATTCTGGATCAGCCGTGGCTTTTGATGTTAATGTGGATACCTGGCTCTTGAGCCTCTGCATCTTTAATCATTATTTCTAAACATGCATAGTCAGTTATTTATAGCCTTTATATGCCAGTGTTGTACCAATAAATGTTACTTTTCAAATGCATGCAACCAAAGAGGAGTAAATGTCTCCAGACCCTACCTGACAAGTAACATTTACATGCCATGTTAGAACTGAATGTGACAAAAGTCTTGTGCCTGTTACTGCTATGAATGAGGCCTGCATACCACAGAGTGTCAGGATCTTTGCAACTGTTACAGGATAAATTAACTGCCCCCCTTCAGCAAAAACAAATAATAACTCCAATTATTTATACTTATTTTAACTAACTTTGTTAGATGTAAAACATGGTGCTGCAGCACACACACAATTAATCTCAATTTTGCCTCTATTTTTATTTTGTCTGGCTCTTCCTTTTCTCGATAAGAGCTTTAAGAACTGCTGGCTGGACTTTGCGTACTAGATGGTCTGTGGGGCAGGTCACTGACTGAAGCCACATGAGACTCCAGTCTGTGTGCTCAAGCCTATCTGCATAACACAGGATCTCCTACACAGCCTCCTTCACAATGACCCAGAGCAGGGAAGGACATGGAATTCAAAATACAAACATCCAGTCTAGCCCCCACGTGTACTGTATGTGTATACGCAGACAACTGCCCACAGCAAACAGACACATACTGTATATACTCCACACAGTATGTAGCCATGTATGTAACTATACAACTGTGTCTTAAAAACATGTCTAATGTTGTACAATTTGCAGTCTGTGTGCTATAGATGGTGAAATGCTATCCTAACAGTAAACAGCATGCACAAATTCCAAAACAAAAACAAATGCACATTTAGTACAAAATGACCAGGATGGAAAGCAAAAATCCAGGGCGTTCTATTGTTTTTGTTTCATTTCTCAGGGTATCTTGAATGATTGTTAAAACATCAATATTGCACCCACTGTTCAAGAGGAGACACTGTGTTTATCTAAAGCAGTGATTCTTGCGCTCGACAATCCTTCAGACAGCTGAATAAGAGAGGGGTAAAAAGGGTGTCTTGTTTCCTCATTGTTGGGAACAATGACATCTGGATAAAAGGCAAGTCAGGAGAGACATAAGTCAACGGATATGGGATGAATTCAGAGTAAGGGAAAACAGTTCAGTTTTGAATTACTCAAGGTGAAACCCAGGAATCTGCATTTGTATTAATCAGCTTGTGTAAGAATAAGCATGCATTCCTCCTGTCTGGATGTGCTTTTTGCTTCTTTGTGTTGTGTTTCTATTTGTGTGAAATATTTGATTTAAATTTGTCAAAGCGAACTTCAACATTGTAATAATGTTGATATTATTATTATGCTGCCATTTGAGGACCAATGGGGCCTCCTTTTTTTAGTCCACTGTTTTGGGAAAATATTTGAAGTAGCAAACTGTTTACTGTACTAAACTGTATCACCAACTTCATCTGGTACTCGTGGATACATACTGTACATTGTTACTAATCACTAGCCTATTGAGCTTCATGCTGTAGTGTTACTTTAAATGAAGGTAATCTCACTCTACTCTCTTAAGGGTTACTGTATTTTAATTATAAATAACATCTGTAAAGGGTTTGTCCTAGATTGTAGCATTTAAATGTGTGATAGTGTCTGTTTTGCATCACAAGTGCCTGGGAACTATTGCAGGTCTCTGCTGATGCTGTACATTTTTATTTTTGTAAGTATATCTTCTTTAGTTGCTGTTTTGTAACTTGTAAATAATTAGTTTTTTTCTTGTGTTTAGATAAAGCCTAGAAGGCACCACTGTACAATATTGATGTGAATGGGACTGTTAAAATATGACCTAGTTTAAAACAGCAAAGGGAAGAGAGGTGCAATTGTGAGATACGTGTTGCATTTAACAAATGTTTCACCATCAGGTGTATTTGTGTAGTACATGATGTAGCATGGACATGAATAGGGGAAACAAATTGACATTATCTGTATGATAACAGAACTGTACATGTTTGTTGTCCATTTGGAAAGACAGCACCTGAGCACCCACCGACCATAGACTCTCTGCATTGCTAAAAGACTATTTAGACATTTTCAGCCATGTGCTTAGTTACTTTCTTGCTGAGAGAGATGAGAAGATCAATACCACTACTGTACTTGTTTGGTAAAATACTGCAGCCAGCAGGCAGTTATCTTAGCTTAGGTTAGCATAAAGAGTGGAACAGGGTGAAACAGCTAGCCAGGCCAATCTTCGCTTTTCTTATCTAACTCTCAGCAAGAAAGTAATATTTCCCAAAGTGTCAAACTATTTCTTCACATCAAATGAACCTCATATCTGTGGAAATTTGTAAATTTGAAAAAGAAGGTGGCATAGAAGGTATGCTACTTATTATTCAAACATATTTACAGTACATGTCACATAGTTAAATATATAGACCATGGATCTATAGATCCATGATATAGACACACTGCACTGTTGATGTGTCTGTAGCAGACAACCTCCTTTGTGATGATTTTCCCACAGGCTTTGACTCAAGAAACATAAGTCAAAAAATAAAGAGCCAAGTTCTTATTTGTCCTAAATATCTGAACAATTTGCACCAGCAAGATGTTAAGTTGCTAAGCTGTGAGGTAAAGCTCTTTTGGTTGCACCTGATTAACTAGTGTGACTAAAACAGAATGAATCATCAAAACTTTACACAACCTGTTACCTGTTTTAATATGACTTTTCTTGGTTAAATTAATATGTTTGTTAACTATTGCTTTCTGTAAGAAGCAAGAGGGAAATGTCTCAAGTTTTTTTTTGTTTAATATTATCTATCACCACAGAATGACTTTCCCTAAAAGCCCTCTGTCTATTCTGTCTATAACCTCATTTTTTCTTGTCAGAAACTAACTGATTATGGAGGCTTGAACAGTATTTGTTCAGTTTGACAGAGATGAAAGATTTAATTAACAAATAGTGACCAGAGTTTAAATAGTTTGTACAGTAAACCTCAACTGAAGGTGAACATGTCATGACATTGCACTAACCGTTACAAATGAGGATGTGAGAGTGTGTGGATGACTGAAAGACTGGCTTCCAAGGATACGGTTTTGAAAACACTGACAAGACTGACAGTGCACCAGGACTGAATTGTACAGATCTGAGAAATACTGAATGTTTCTAATACATATACTGTACTATACCTAATGTGAATTTGCAAAATTCCTGCAGCAGACAAGCAGTAAAATCAATAAAGCTATTAAATCCATTTACGTTCCTCCCTATGAATCCAACAACACACACGCAAACAAACAGTGCATGCCCTTGCACACACAAGAACATAAACCTAATCTAACACACACACACATTCTTAATTTCATAATGATTCTTATAATCGTGTTTTATTAGGATTCACTTTTATTTCATTGTAAAAAAAAACTTGTATTTCAGAATATCCTTTTTCAAAATTCTGTTTTTATGTTATTTCATTTCACAGTGGTTTTGTCACCACCCTGTCACCTTTCTTTCAGTCCCATCAAAGCTCAACAACTGCTACCACATTTACTGTGTTACTTCCTGGTAGCTCATCAATGCCAACATTATTCTGAACCAACCACCTTGAGGCTGCTGCTGTAAATAAACAGTACAAAAACACAGTAACATACAGTACTTACCTAGCTAGCTAAGTCAGGTTTGGAGCTTGGATTATTACTCAGCATTAAAAGTTATGGATTAATGTGCGAGTTGTTTTAGCTAGCTCCTGTTGGCTGAAGAAACCCAAATGAAAGTGTCATTTTGGTCTTTGCAGAGTCTTTGTGTGTCTTTTTATGAGAAACATTTTTAAAATTAAAATGGTGCTGAGACAACTGAATCAACCAACGCCCATTATTTGTCGTTAACACTGGCTCTTCAAATTCATGCTGACCACTAAATCCATACTCACATGAAAACTAGGTAACATGTAGCTAGGTAACAAGGAGAGGCAATAAAAGGAGAGGTTAGTTACTGTGTTTGTGTGCAAACTGTGTGTTTATTTACAGCAGCAATGTCTTGTAAACAGCAATTGAAAATTACTTTGATATTATGATAGCTAACAGGAAGACATGAAGTGGTTCCCACTGGTTTCATATTTTTATCACTGTGGGCTTTACTCAGTGGTAGCGTTACGAGAGTAATGAAATTCACATATTCTACCTATACAACAAAGCCATGCATGAAAGCAAGAAAATGTCTAGGAAACTTATAAACAACTGTTTAAAATAATAAATACAACAAAATTATATCTTTTTTGAAATGACTTTTAAAAACTGTCTACATCATATGCATACAATTTTAAAGTCATACAAATAATTTGTGTATCATTCAAATAAGAGTAGTTATATATTAAATGTGGAGAGGCCAAGCCAAGTGGTTAAGGTTAATACTATAGTCTATAAAGTGTAAATAATATAAATATGGTTATAGTTATAAATGTAAAATAGTAAATGCAAAATATATTAAATATGCAGCAGTGATACTGCTGCGCTATGCTCCAAACTTCAGTAAGACAGAAACAATCTTTAACTTTGTTCACTCCAGCCTGACCTGTTTCTGCTTGTTCAGATCACAAATGGCATCGACAGGTTCTGACCAGTCCCAGTACCCAAGATAATTTTCTAAGTGAACCACGGTCCAAACGGGAAACACATTCCCCAGCTAACTGCTGCTAACCTCCACTGAGTCATTAGCGAGGAATGCTTGATGTGTGAGGGGAACCATGTGTGCAGGACTGACATGGGGGTGAAAGAGGATAGGCCCTGTTGACTTTGGGTGACCAGTTGAATTTTGACTTCATGTTAGACAGAGTACAGAAAAGTCATCTTCGGTGATAGAAGATGCTAGCTGTAATGCCAAAACAAATAAAAAGGTGGCAATTAGGGAAGAATTAATGTTAAAACATTCAGCCACTGCGGTGCTTATTGTCACCTTTTATTCTGCTGAGACAGTGGAAAGAATACATGAGAAAAGCAAAGTGAAAAATAATTTTTTGCCAACAGAGTACTATACAATACTTCTAAAAGTACATTAAACTATAAGAATTAGGTTGATCAAAGTAAATAAGTGTTACTGTGAATGTAAAATACAATACACTTAGCATACTCATGAGAAGAGAATCATTTTAAACAGAAGTAAATGTTCAAACAAAAATTATGACTTATTTTTTGTTTTGTTTTGTTTTTTATAGAAGGCTGTAAATACGGAACAAAAACAGAAAATGGCAGCAATTTCACAATTCAATTGTAGGAGTTGGAAAATAAGTAGGTGATGATTTTCCTTTAACGTCGCTCCCCTCTGCACAGTTAATTTACAGCACATTACGGTCAGTTTAATGACCCAGTGTGCGTGTGGTCTCAGAATAACAAGATCATTTCCTCTACAAATCACCACTGGGATAAAGTGAGAACATGGAAAAAGGGCTCCCTTAGGAGTGTCCTGAAATGTGAGGTTGTGAAACTTTTCCCATGAAAAGGCCTTTCCACAGGTTTCACATAAAGTAAAAGTACATAATAAATTCTGAACCCAGCACATCTCACAGGGGTTAAATGGAAACCTAGACTCTTAATCCAAAGCCCTTAAGTTATAGATTGTAGCTTTAAGTCAATTTTTAAGTAGAAACCAAGGATCAAATAATGTGATCAAAGCTTCAGGAAGTAGTCTTTGGAAAATAGGCAGCAGCTAGTTGCCTTAGCTTAGCACAAACATTGGAAACATCGAGCCTCGCTCTGTTCAAAGGTCACAAAATGTAAGAATGTTAGTAACATTTGGCCACAGTAATTAGAATATCAAGTAGTTCCAAGCTCAGGAGCTACTGTACATAGTGAATAATAAAGAACTACACTATATGCTGCACCTGGAACATGCACACAATGAATAATATATTTTTCAGAATATCAATACAGCAATTTACAGTGCCACCTAATGGCCTATAAAACTTTAATGAACAATTTTATAGATTTTGTAAAATTATTTTGCAGCTGAAACAAATTCCAGTACTGCAAGAAAAGCCCAGTCTTTTAGCCTCCATGCCTTTTGTGCTACACACAATACAGGTTAGCACAGTGTTGTTTGGTTAGGCAATCAATAAGATGAGGTGAAAAGTCAGAGGGGTCTTCATCCATCTTTACAAATGAGCAATGGACATCACTCCAAGGGTCTCATTTGGCACTCATGAAGATGAACAACTGTCTGTAGGAAGTCTGCAGGTCATTCCAGACGTAGGCACACATGTTCTCTTTGGTCACAGTGGACTGTAACTGGAGATCACACACAAGGCCAGGCCATCGAAAGTAGCAAACTGGTGTTCCTGGGTGGGACAACAGGGAAGATGTGACTGATCTCTTCTCAGTTCATAGGTCAGCATCTGACAAGGTAATAGAGGTGGAGCAGGCTTCTTTTCTTCCAGATGCAAATAGGCATGAAGATTAGAGAACGCTTGTATCATGTTCTATAAATGGTACATGAGATGATACGCTGGCTGGGTTAGAAATTCAATCTTCCTAATACTGCAAATAAATTCAGAAGGAACTATTTTTCTTCTGAGACAAAGATTTATTTTGACAGAAAGCTCATGAAGTCAAGGGGTTGTATTATGGGAAGTGTATGATTCAGCTCGACCTGTATTATGGACTAAAAGTCACGGCGTCTCGGCTTCTTTGAGTTTGACTTTTGTATTTTAAGCGGTCACTTGCAAATCACACAACATTATGGGCATACAGCACTAAACCGTTAGAGTACCACAAGAACCTTAAACAAGGTTTCAAATTGTTCAAAATGCCTTCCACCAGTTATGCAGTTTCTATTCTGGTCAAACAAGCACGTGTATCACCTTGGTTTAAAATAAAACCATAATTTTTGTGTGAATCTAATTCTAAATGTTATTTAGAAAAAAAATTAAGATCTAGCCAAATTAGTATATTTTGATTATTGTCTTATCACTCACTGGTAACATGTCTAACATTTATAAAATGTCAGACTGTAAATCTGAAACAATAAATGTTGCAAACTCTGACTTGAACATACATTTATAAACCTTCAAGTCATTTTTGTGACCACATTCATATTTAAACAAAGACGGCGATTATCATGTTTACATTATCTTATTGGTCTCATGGCTGCAGTTAACTGTACTTTATGTTTACTAAAACAAAAAAAATACTTATAGGGACTGTAATTTGTATACTGTATATTCACTATGTTCTCACTGTGTGCGATCCTAGAGTTCTGCTGTGTTTACAGTTGGTTACTCAGAGGGGACCACCTAACCCATTGCTTTTACAAGCTGTCCATCTATAAAAATGAAGTGGTGTGGTTTCCCACTCTGTTCTATTATTCTGCTCTTCTTCCTCCTCTCCCACCTGCCTCTGTTTGTTGGAAGAGATAGTCAGGCTCTGCCAGCAACACACACAATTAAGTGAAGAGTGATGAAATTATATCTCTGGTCTGGGCAAATGAAAGGATGAGAGGATGGAGAGGCAAAGTGGGAGGGAGGGAGGATCCATTCTCTCTCCCTCTGGGGCCAGGGGAAATCCTATTAGGCCTATAACTGAGCCATTTTTCACCTCCTTCCACATCAGTCTATTATATAATTCCTTCTCCTGTCCTTTCTTACCTCCACTCTACTCTTTAAAGATGGTGCAGCATCTGCTGCTCCTCTCTCTTATGTCTCCCTGGAAAACCCTTCTCTTTTTTCTGTGCTTTATTCCTGTTTTCTGTATTGCACCTTATCAGTCTCCTTTCAGTTCCTTCATTTACTACGCTGTCATATAAGATATGAGGAAAAAATGGCCATACTGTGGACTCAAACTAAATAAAAACTAGTAAAAAAGTTCAATTAAACCAAAAGTATGTTTAAATTCTGTTATCCTTTTGATCGATCCAGTTGACTTAACAGCAAAGGCATTCCTCTGAAGCAAAAACAGGTTATAAAATGTCTGCGGCCTCAAAGCAAGTGATTAAAGTTTTAAGATAGGAATGTGCTTTGGCTTTTATTGCCCACAATTATTCCATTTTCAAGCTTTAATGTGTTTAGCAGGAAGTGACAAAATAAGGAACACTGGCAAAATTCACATAGCGTCTTCCAGAAACTCAATCAGTGAGATTTTCTGCCCAGTGGCTTTGTGGTGAACAGGAAAGGGTTTATGTGTTTGTCATGGGTTGGTTCAGTTTAAACATTACTGGTTTAATTGCATTTTATTCAAAGCCACACAGACTTCCTGTTTCTATTAATGTCGCCTG